TTTTATTCCAAAATTGGCCACTTTCAACGAAACTCATTTTCTTTAATCTATGTACCCTTTTATCCTTAATAACACTTATTTATCGCTTGTTATAAATAGCATAACTACGTTAACGTCAAGATGATCTTGTCCCCGAGTCTACGTCAATTAATTGAAGACGAAATTTTAACATACGAAAATGCAAGATGTAATAATAGGGTCACCACTCCCTAGTTGATGCCAACATAGAGTCTCCACTCCCTAGTTGATGACAACATAACTTGATGCCAATATAAGGTTACCACTCCCTAGTTGATGCCAACATAGGGTCTTCACTCCCTAGTTGATGCCAACATAACTTGATGCCAATATAAGGTTACCACTCCCTAGTTGATGCCAACATAGGGTCTTCACTCCCTAGTTGATGCCAACATAACTTGATGCCAACATATGGTCACCATTCCCTAGTTGATGCCAACATAGGGTCATCACTCCCTAGTTGATGTCAACATAGGGTCTCCACTCCCTAGTTGATGTCAATATAATTTGATGTCAACATATGGTCACAACTCTCTAGTTGATGCTAACATAGGGTCTCCACTCCCTAGTTGATGCTAACATAACTTGATGCCTATATAGGGTCTCCGCTCCCTAGTTGATGCCAACATAACTTGATGCCAATATAGGGTCACCACTCCCTAGTTGATGCTAACATAGGGTCTCAACTCCCTAGTTGATGCTAACATAGGGTCTTCATTCCCTAGTTGATTCCAACATAGGGTCTCCACTCCCTAGTTGATGCTAACATAACTTGATGCCAACATAGGGTCACCACTCCCTAGTTAATGCCAACATAGGGTCTCTACTCCCTAGTTGATGCCAACATAAGGTCACCACTCCCTATGTGATGCCAACATAGGATCACCACTCTCTAGTTGATGCAAACATAACTTGATGCCAACATAGGGTCACCACTCTTTAGTTGATGTCATCATAAGGTCTTCACTCCCTAGTTGATGATTTTCCAGCATAAGGTCTCCAATCCCAAGTTGATTTTATTTTAGACATAGGGTCTCCACTCCGTAGTCGCTTTTCCAATGTAGGATCTCCATTCCCTAGTTGATGCCAACATAGGGTCTCCACTCCCTAGTTGATGCTAACATAACTTGATTCCAACATAGGGTCACCACTCTATAGTTGATGCCAACATAGGATCTATATTCCCTAGTTTATGCCAACATAAATTGATGCCAACATAGTGTCACCACTTCTTAGTTGATGCCAATATAGGGTTTCCACTCCCTAGTTGATGTCAACATAACTTGTTGCCAATATATGGTCATAACTCCCTAGTTGATTCCAACATAGGGTCATCACTCCCTAGTTGATGCTAACATAGGGTCTCCACTCCCTAGTTGATGCCAACATAACTTGATGCTAACATAGGGTCACCACTCCCTAGTTTGATGCCAACATATAGGGTCTTCACTCCCTAGTTGATTCCAACATAACTTCATGCCAACATAGGGTCTCCACTCCATATGCCAGCATAGGGTCTCCACTCTCTAGTTGATGATTTTCCAACATAGGGTCTCAAATCCCTTGTTGATTTTATTTTGGACATAGGGTTTCAATTCCCTCGTCGCTTTTCCAACATAGTGTCTTTACTCCCTAGTTGATTTCATTCTAGATATAGGGTCACCACTCCCTATTCTCTTTTTCCAGGATACACCATTCCCGCCCTTTTATTGCTTTCAATAATGAAGTAGTATAGGGTTTTATTACAATAAATCACGAAATTTTCCTAGTGAAGACTGGGGCAGAAAATTTTGTTCTTCTGTTTTGATGCCTGAGCAGGTTATACCTCGAGGCACAGAGTTCGAGACAACCAAAAGAAGAAGTCTCAATCCAGAAGAAAAGAAAAGCAAGAAGTGAATCCAAAATGCAAAATCAGAAGAAAAAAAATGTGGACTACTCAATACATGAATGAAGTCACAAGCTTTGCATGTCCCGTCTTAATCTGAAAAGCTGAAGAAGAATGAACTAGCACCTGCACCTATCAAGCATCAAGATTCAGATCAGAGTCTGCATGAAGAACCATTCAAGACTCAAGATCAAGCTTCAGAAGACTTATACATAGGAATCTTGTGATTCATAGCTGACAGGCTTAGTTAGTCTTTTTCATTTTTGATTTTGATGTAATAGCAGGACCACGGATCAGAACCTCACTCGACTCTCCAATTCATCATTCCATCATTCGCAGAACTATATGGACCTAATTCCTTTATAGCTAAGAATATGTAGGCAACCTTTGAAGCAAAGTTCGGTCAAGCTTTTTCAACATGCTTCCCATGGAAAATCAAACGGGCAAAAATTGTTCATGATTGCTCACTTTGTCTTTACCCAAAAACTCTTCATGTTCTCGAGCAAAGAGGGGCAGTTGTAAGCACCTAATATTTGCCCTATATGGAAATTACTCCTAAAAATAATCAAAAATAATTTTAGTAAATAAATATCCTAGGCACACAAAAAATGGAATTTAAATTAAAATTTGAGTTAGAGTGGCTAATATTACAAAAATTAAATAAAGGAAAGGAGGTTAGTCTTTGTTGAAACTAGGCTAAAAGCATAATTATTTAAAGTAGCTCAATTGCCAAATTGGCCCAATCTTCTTTCACATACCCAAGCTCATCTCCCTAACCTACCCGCCTGCCCTCCCTCCTTAAATAAAAGAAAAACCTAGCGGCTAAACACCTAACACCTAAGACCTAAGACCTAACTCCTAAAGAAAAGAAGCAGCAGCCGTTTTCCTTCCCTAGCTTCATCATCCTCTCAAAATTAAGGAAGATGCACGCTCACAAACGGACAAAAGGAGAAAAACAGAAACCTAACCCC